GCAAATTCGTGTCTCTTGCGTCTCCTGCATTGGCAGGCAGAATCTTTACCACTAGTGTCACCTGGGAAGCACTCGCCTTCCAGGTAGGATTAGTGATCAAATAAAACGGGTAGAGGTTAGGTGGCAGATTTAGCAAGTCTTAAATATGGGAGTCAAGTTTTAGGTCATGAAGGATACTATTATTTTTGAAAAATTCCTTCAGTATTTTTTATCCTAAATTTTTCCTCTTTTGGTATTACTATGAATATAGGTTTCAGTTAGTATTCAATACCATCTGTAACCAAGATCTATGAAAAATAATTTTAATATCTTATAAACTGTACTACATTAAATATATTAACCTATGCAAGCTTTAGTCTGTATGATCTAATTATTAATACTGACTCTTAAGTTTTCAGTCCCTGGGATTGCAAAGAGTTGGACATGACTGAGTGCCTAACACTTCCTGCTGCTCATAAACACAAAGACAGAACACATGCTATCAATGAGTCAATAATGAAAGATTTCTGACTTTCATTATTAAAAAAAAAAGTCTATTGCTGACTATTATTATTTTTAAAATTGAATATCTGGAAATATGAATTTAAGTATTTAAGTTAAAATTTATACTGGTGATCTATATTTTATAAGAAAAATTCTAATCAGATTGATGTGAATGTACTTGTGGTTTTGGACTGTGAATTTTAAATCATTATAACTAGGCTCAAACACACCTATATTAATCAAAGTATTAATAGGAACCATTACAATCAATACATTTTTGCCAACAAGAAATACGTTTATTTATTCCTGTAGCATAAAAATCCATGCTTTGCGGTTCAGTGAACTCTTGGAAAGTATTTTCTGCCTCCTGCTGGTGGTGGAAATGTTTTCTCTGCAAAAAATTGTCGAGATACTTGAAGAAGTGGTTGGTGAGAGGTCAGGTGAATTTGGCAGATGAGTCAAAACTCTGTAGCCCAATTTGTTCAACTTTTGAGGCATTGGTTGTGTGACCTGAGGTCGGGCATTGTAATGGGGAAGAATTGGGTCCTTTCTGTTGACCAGTGCCGGCTGCATAGATTGCACTTTTCTGTGCATCTCGTCAATTTGCTGAGCCTACTTATCAGATGTAATGGTTTTGCCAGGATTCAGAAAACTGGAGTGGATCAGACCAGCAGCAGACCACCAAACAGTGATTACGACCATTTTTTTGGTGCAAGTTTGGCTTTGGAAGTATTTTGGAGCTTCTTCTTGGTCCAACAAATGAGCTGGTCATTGCCAGTTGTTGTATCCACTTTTTGTTGCATGTCACAAACCAATCAATAAATTTTTCATTGTTGTTGCTTAGAGTAAGAGATGACACTTCAAAATGATGATAGTCTTGATTTTCAGTCAGCTCACGAGGAACCCACTTATTGGGCTGTTTCAGCTGTTCAAATGCTGAACGACTGTAGAATGGTTGATATTGAGTTCTTAGGCAACTTCTCATGTAGTTGTAAAAGGATCAGCTTTGATGATTGCTCTCAAATGGTCATTGTCAACTTCCAATGCCTGGCCACTGTGCTCATCTTCAAGTCTCTCATCTCCTTTGCAAAACTTCTTGCATATTTTAGATGACTGAAATCCAATATAATTTCTATCATTACCCTGTTCCTTAATCTTTTAAAATTTAAGAACAAATCTTTTTGAAGGAAAAAATATTCAAACCTTTTAAATCTGTTTTATCTTACAGGATTTAATTCAACCACTAATGTGAAGTTTTGTGCAAAAGCTCTATAATAGAGAGCTTTAGAAAAAAATATTTTATTTATTTTACAATAAAATACAGTCATTATATCAGAGAAGGCAATGGCACCCACTCCAATACTCTTGCCTGGAAAATCCCATGGATGGAGGAGCCTGGCAGGCTGCAGTCCATGGGTTCGCTAAGAGTCGGACAAGACTGAGCTACTTCACTTTCATTTTTCACTTTCACACATTGGAGAAAGAAATGGCAACCCACTCCAGTGTTCTTACCTGGAGAATCCCGGGGACGGGGGAGCCTGGTGGACTGCCGTCTATGGGATTGCACAGAGTTGGACACAACTGAAGTGACTTAGCAGCAGCAGCAGTCTTTATACACACACACACACACACACACACACACACACACACACACACACAGAGTTGTTATTTTAGCCGCCAACTTTTTTGAATATGATTCCCAATAAAGAATGTACTGTAGTCATATAAAAATAAAAATGAATCTATACAATTTAAGCTATTGAGACAAAACTCTGAAGAAACAATACTGAACCTGTCTATCTAGAAATTATCCTAATATGTTGCATCCAGTGCCATGACAATCCATTTCTACTTTATTCTACTCTATTCTAGCCCTTTATATAGTGCTGATAATAACACTAATTCTATCTTTACACATATTATGGAAACAACCAGCAATTCAGAAAAAACTATTTTAGTAAAGTAAATATATTTGAATCACATACAGACACTACTTATTTGGGATGTTATTTCATAGTTTATGAACTCTTCCAATCATCAAGGATAGAACTCTAATTCATGGTAGAATATAATAGGAGTTATACAAGTCGAGTTCAACATCTTAAATAATTTAAGATACTAGTAGATGCATTAGAGCTACTACATAGTTATAATTCATCTGTGAGCCAGCTGTCCAAGTTCAATATACTCAGTAATTTTCAGGACTATTCACACATGCTAAAATTCGTTATGCAATGTATGTCCTTTATCCTTGATAAACTGTCTATTTTTCCTGATGTTTTTCCTGCCTATTCCATCTAAGCTCAACAAGCATAGAGAATATCAGAAAATGTATGTTTTGCTCTTTGAAAACATGATTGAAACTAATCTAAAGGTTTAGATAGCAGTTAATAGCTCTCTTTCTCTGGGACATAGTGTTCAAAGATCACAACCTTTAAATGCCATGTTTATTTCCTAAGTAGATTTATAGTTTATTCTTACTGAGAGGGTTGAAAGGAAATGGTTTTCCTTGAAGGCATTAACAACTTCTAAATTATCTAATTGATCATTGTGGATACAGCCAGTATTAACTCATCTAGGTCACAGACAGATCTATTTGCCTAGAATGATTGAATTAATTTGCATTGCCATTTCCCACCATTAAAAAGATGCTATAAATGTGAAAAAAGTGAAGTGAAATTCATTCAGTCATGTCTGACTCTTTGCAACCCCATGAGCTGTAGCCTTCCAGGCTTCTCTATGCATTGAATTTTCCAGGCAAGAATATTAGAATGAGTAGTCATTTCCTTCTCCAGGGGATCTTCCCAACCCAGGGATCAAACCTGGATCTCCTGCAGGTAGATTCTTTACCATCTGAGCCACCAAGGAAGCCCAAAAACCCAATAAAGTGCTATTGAAAATAATGTCTTACATGAATATTACTAAAGTGGACTGAACTTGACAACATGTATAATCATAGGTGGTCAATGACTATTTGTCAAATATAAGTGGATTTTCATAAGTTTTACATTTTCTTCTATATCCATAATTGCAAACTCATTTTAAACTGTAGATATCTCTTTGCATTTGTTTCCATCATGCTTCTTTGGCAGCAGATTTTCAGTATGATTAATAAATACAGCTATTTAAAAATGCTTTACAACAAATAATTTTAGCACACATTTCAGAACAACAAATGGCTATATAAATAATACAATTAGTAGTAAACACACACACATACACAAAATTGTGTCTTTACCTGAATGTTTTCCAATTAAAAAGAATCAAATGTCAGAGTTAAACGTTTGTGTATTCCTCATTTGCCACACTATTATAACATTTTGTTTAGATGTAATCCTAATAAAGTTTAATTTCTGACTACAAGTTTTGACTTATGAATTATTTATTAATGAGAACTTGCATGTGTAAGTTGCCAAAATTTTTACAGTAAATTTAGAAAGAATTGACTACAATTCAGTTGTGTTACATTATCATTACTTTAACTGACAATTTAGAAAGTAATGTTTTGAAAATGAAATAACAATTATGTAATATTCTTTTGACCATACTCTTAAATTATTATTTATGAATTGAATTTGCTTAAAATTGTACCTCAGAGTTAAGAATTAAATTTTCAATAGAAGCTTTAAAGTAATAATAAAGAATTCACTTTAAGAGAAAATAAAAATATTCTTATAATTGTGAATCAACTTTTTTATTATGGCAGTGTGTAATAAAGGTATTTTGATTTTCCTAATCATATAGAAATTTTAGTATTCTATTTATTACTAATAGTAGTATATGTAGAAGACATTAAAGTGATATTTTTGTTATAATTAATTTGCTCATAATACTAAAAGTCAACAGTGCATACTATTCTGATAGAGTGGCTTATTCCTGATAGAGAAAGTATCTCACTTCCACATGTTAATTTTAAATAAATTTTGAATGAGGTCAAGGTTCTCCAGTTTTAAATGAAGCTGTCTAAGACTTTTTTTTTAAGAATAATTTTCAAATTGCACAAGCTATACATAGGTCAGCTTCCCTTATAGCTCAGTCAGTAAAGAATCTACCTGCAATGCAGGAGACCTGAATTCAATTCCTGGGTCAGGAAGATCCCCTGGAGAAGGATATAGCAACCCATTCCAGTGTGCTTGCCTGGGAAACCCCATGGACAGAGGAGCCTAGCAGGCTACAGTCCATGGGGTCACAAAAGTTGGACACAGCTTAGTGACTAAACCACCACCATACATAGGTCGCTTATTTTAGTACATGTCCACAAATTGAATTCATCTGTGTAACAAGTTCCTAGACCAAAAAGCAGAAAATCACAGTGCCTAAAGCACCTGCCCATCATGCTTTCTTCCAGAATTATCCATAGTGCTTACCCTGTAAAGGATAACTACTATCTCCATTTTAACACTGGATAATCATTTTTATTCACCTCCTGAGATCTAATCTGTATTCTAATGGAAAATATTGCTTTAAAATATGTTTACACCTGTGCTTACAATTAAATGTCATTTTTCATTGAATAGGTCCACAGTGGTATCCTTCTCGAATAGGCCTGCAGCTAGAACGTGGTAAGAAATAATTTCACTCATCTACTTATTTAATTTAGAATCCCTTTTCTGTCATCAATTGGCAATATTTATTTATCACTTACCAAATGGCAGATATTATAATAAATACTTTAAATATATTGTTTTATTTGAGTCTCCTCAAAAGCTAGTGTTCCACGTTTATGGTAGAGGAATTTTATTCTTACATAAATAAATTTCATACATTCACTGTCATTGTGTATTGAAGGCAGGATCTGAACTAATATCTTTCTGTCTCAAAAGGTTTTACTGCTCTCTCCCCTCAGTCTACTGCCTCCTAATATAGTCTCAGGGATGCAGCTCAGTTCCCTTTGCCTTTATTCCTGTTCAAAAGCAGAATAAGGGAGGTAAGGAGGAATAGAATTGATTAATTATAGGGAGAAGTATTGTTTCCATTAATAAGCCTCAAGTGTTTCAAAATTTCAAACCTTATTTTCTTGTCATAAAATTTTAAAATGTTATGCTAAAAATACACAAAAGTGAGTCCTGCTAAGAATCATTGTTATTGACATCACATCACTTGACCTTACATTTGAACTTGTTAAATAAAAGCTCTGGGTAGATTGGAAATTTCTGAGGAATATTCAGTTCAGGTCCATGATAACAAATCTACAGAGGTATATTTTAAGAAATTTCATTCTTTAAATTTTTCTACACAATCCTGACCTGCATTGTATTTTTCTGGTACTTTGCTAATATTCAGGCTGTTATTTCTTAGATATCATATTCATTTAAGGACAAATGATGATTTCTCAGGATCTCTAAGATGTTTTGTTGTTTTCATTGCTATCTTAAATATTCCACCCTTTTTCTGAGATGTCTATGTTGAAAACATAGGTATCTAGAATATTTTTATAAATCACAGTTTCTTGAGGTCTCACACTTTTCTAAACTCAAGTGTTCAAGACAAATTCTCATCTAGCTAGAGTTTTAAAGAGAAGAATCATTGTCTTGTTTCTTTTTGCTTCTATGGGATATAGTATGTGCTTTTCAACACATGGATGCTAAAATAACATAAAATGAAATAATGCTATTGTTTTATGAACTTTTCATATTAAAAAAAAAAACTGAGAATACCACAAGCATGAGTGTCAGATGTAATTTCAATTTGAAGGAAATTATAAGGGACTGCATAATTTCTTTTACTTCAACCTTTCTGGTGAACGTCACATTTTATTTCCCTTCAATCATATACCTGGCTGGGTGTACCAGTGTGTGATGTGAATAAAGTATAACCCTCCAAGTGTTCTTTGATGAGAATGTGATGAAATATTTGAAAAAAAGAATCTATGAATTTAGTAATATAAGCAGGATATGATACAAAGTTTTTTTGGAATAACACAATTTAAAACCTATCTTTCTACTTACTTATATTCAGAGTCTTTTGTAAAGTGAGCTAATAAAGAATCTAACTTATGGTTTGTGTGTGTGTGTGCTTTTTGCAGGTGATGGCTAGTGTGTAAGTAAGATTATGTTTATAAAGTACTATAATAATTTAGCTAGAGTTTTAAAGAGAAGAATCATTGTCTTGTTTCTTTTTGCTTCTATGGGATATAGTATGTGCTTTTCAACACATGGATGCTAAAATAACATAAAATGAAATAACGCTATTGTTTTATGAACTTCTCATATTAAAAAAAAGAAACAACTGAGAATACCACAAGCATGAGTGTCAGATGTATTTTCAATTTGAAGGAGATTATAAGGGACTGCAGAATTTCTGTTACTTCAACCTTTCTGGTGAACGTCACATTTTATTTCCCTTCACTCATATACCTGGCTGGGTGTACCAGTGTGTGATGTGAATAAAGTATAACACTCCAAGTGTTCTTTGATGAGAATGTGATGAAATATTTGAAAAAAAGAATCTATGAATTTAGTAATATAAGCAGGATATGGTACAAAGTTTGTTTGGAATAACATAATTTAAAACCTATCTTTCTACTTACTTATATTCAGAGTCTTTTGTAAAGTGAGCTAATAAAGAATCTAACTTATGGTTTGTGTGTGTGTGTGCTTTTTGCAGGTGATGGCTAGTGTGTAAGTAAGATTATGTTTATGAAGTACTATAATAATTTGTGCATGGTTAATACTTCATTAAACATAGTTGTAACTATTAATATTAAGGAAAAAGACAAGACCAAAACAAAGCAAACACGGATATTACATATTTGCTGCCAGAGTATATTTGCCAGAATGAGTGCACTATGAATAATGATACCATGTTATTTTAGAGCCTTTTACAGATTCTGTACACAAAAGACTGCTAAAACACAAATAAAAGAACAAGCAATTTACTTTTTTATGGGCAAATATAGCCAACATTTTTTTTTTTTTTTTGGCTTGGGAATTTCGCTTAGCTGTGCTGGGCTTGGTCTTGCTTGGCTAGTTTCACTCAAACAGCTAAGTTCAGCTAATGGACTGCTGAAGACTGGCCAGAATGATCATGGCTGTAGCCTTTCTGCTCTATATTGTCTCATGATTCATCAGAAAGTTCTGGCCTTGTTACCACAGTGCAATCAGAATTGCAAATAAATGAGCAGAAGCACTCAAGAATTCATGAAGCCCAGGCTTAGAACTGGCTTGCGATTCCTTGTTCCACATTCTATTTGTCAAAGAAAGATACTAGGCTACCCTATATTCAAGGGGTGGGGAAACTTTCACCAACTCTTAATAGAAGGGACTAAAAGTCATATTGTGAGTGATGCTGACATGGTAATGATGAATAATTGCATATGTAGAATTGGTCTTTCTCTTCCCATTCCTGACTCCAACCATCCACCACCATTTATACAATCTTCTAGGGTTAGAAGTATGCACCTCATTGTTTGGCCCATTCTTGGGAGAAAATGTCCCCAAAAGATATATTACTTGAGCAAATTTAGGCAGAAAATTTATGGGCCTTAAGTGGCCAAATTATGATATAAATGGCATGGGCTCCATTAAGTGCATTCTCTTGGTCCCACATGTTCCTCTCCCATTGGAAAAGGGCATAGATATAGAATGCCTAGGAAAGGAGTTCCTGATTAGTGTATCTAACAGTGATATGATTAATGACATGTCTGGATTCTCTCACATTGTTTCACCCAAATACTATATTGATTTTCCATATTTTAAAAACAAAATGCCAATATCCTGTTCTTTGATGTCACAGTGGGAAACTATGATGTCAATAGGTACACGCTGGAAAGAAGATTTCAGCAGTCCTTATCAATATTTCTTGCTGTTACCAGTGACTGTCACAATGACATTCTGATCAGCTGGATATCAAAGTCTTTACAATGCTCAACAAATTACCACAACAAATACCACAACAAATTACCACAAACTTAGCAGCTTAAAACAACAATCATTTATTAGCCCAAAGATACAATATGGCTGGATTCTCTACTCAAAGTATCCACAAATTCAGAATAAGGTATCAGCTATGCCAAATTCTCATCTTCTCATATAGACTTCTGAGAAAATCTACTTCCACCTTCAGTCTTGTTGGCAGAAGCCACCTTTTAGCTTTTATGACAGAGATCCCTATTTCCTTGATGGCTATCAGTTCCTAGAGGTCACTTTAATTATTTGCCATGTAGCCCTCTCCATTTTTAAACCAACAATAGTATAGTGACTCTTCCCAGTGTATTGAATCTTGGTATCCGTATTTCTGACTCCATTCAGATTTAAAGAATTTGTTATTAACTCTGGCCCACGAAGATGACCTCTTTTGAAGCCATATGTCACAAACTAGGCAAGGAAGTCATAGTTTACTATATTCATGTTGGATTTATCAAAATTAATATATAACAATTGCCTACTTTCATCTTATACAAAATACCTGTAAGTATAACTATAAATCTAAATATTATACTTTGAAAATCACCTGATAGTCAAAATTTAATATTTTACCCTTTCAATAATAAAGAATGAAAGGAAGTTTGTACATGAGTAGAGTTAATATAATTCACAAATAGATTAGCATAAAATATAATACAAATAAAAGCAATAACATTAATATCATTGTACTTGTGAGATGCATTTATGCTGGTATACGTAGTTCTAATCTACTAATTTTTCTTTCTGTATAACATAATTTTGTTTGCATAAAACAAATTATATTTATCCATATCTTATTTATGAGTACTTAAGATTTTTACAATGTTTTGCTACTAAAAACAGCACCAAAAAAGACATCTTTGTACATATCTTTCAGTACAAAATGGCAAACTTATCTAGTGTTCATTTTTAAGAACAGAACATTTCTCTCACACACTTCCCGTCATCACTTCTGTTTCCTCCTATTTCATGAGAAACTCCTTCTCAATAATCTTTGCTGTATGTTTGTCTTCTGACTTCAAAAGCCTGGAGTGCTAGGAAGCTCAGTTTCAGCTTGTATTCCTTCATTTCAAACTGAATGCATAAATCATCTCACCATGCCTCATGGCTTTAACTGTTAATGACTTTGAAAATATCTTCAGACACAGCCACCCAACTGCCTACTTGACAGCTCCCAATTGAAGACCTAATAGATATCACACACTAAATATACCCTAACTGAAATTTTCCATTTTCACCCCAAAATCTGCTCTTTCCTCACTCTTCTTTTTGTCAATTAATGATACTACAATGCAATTAAGTGCTCAGGGCAAAAAATTACCTCAGCCTGAATATCACAGCTTAAATTTTCTCTAAGATCTAACTTTTTTAATTTTTAACATCTCTACCAGTGCCATCTTAATCCAAATAGGCCTCATACCCTGGTTGGTGAATTTTTACTTTCTCCTAAGTAATCTTGCTTCCTTTTCTTCCCAGTTACCATACAGCAACCATAATGTGCTTTTTGAAAGGTGAATGATGCCCATCCCCAGGTGCTTTGCAGTGACTTTTAAAATTCTACTCCAACTAATTTATCTTACAGTAAAATCAGTTATACAACAGTTGATATGTATGTCTACTGACACAAAATTATACTTCAAAATATACTTTATCATATTTGATTATGATATTATCTAATATTACATCTTTCTCAGAACACAATCGTAACTAGTGGTAATCTGGACTTTGTTTAAATAGCATTAGAAAAACCACTGTGTATCTGAAAATTTGCCAGATACATTATATAAAATTGATTTATTCACATGCTATCTTACTTTAAAGTTTCAGTATAAATTGCAATTTCTATGTAAAATTTATCCTTTGCTTTCACTGGTTTCACATTAAAAATATTTATCATTTTTTTGCCTCAAAATTGTATTAAAATATTATTTCCTTATCGTTTAAGGTGGGCCCTTTCTGAAGGACAACTTAACCATTCAAAGTGTTGCAGCTTCCTCCATTGTCACACTCTATTTTACAGACCTAGGTCAACAAGTCAGTTGGACTACAGTAAGTATCAGTTTGAAATGCAATGTAGATGTCCCACATTTTGATGTGAATGATTTGTTAAGAGAGGATATTTTCTGTCAAATAAATTCATAGTGAAACAAAATATTGCACTAAAGATATTTTAAATTTTCCATTCTTACTATGATCAGTGGCCAAATTTTCATTCAAGAACTGGAGAAATGGGGGAAAAAATGGTTGAAAGAAGACAGATAGTTATTTTTTAAATGTCAATCTATCTCATGACTGATGGCCTCATTTCTATTTCCCCTGTTTCTTGTCAGTTACTTGGCATTTCTTCATCTTTTCCTTCTAGGAGCCTCAGTATGATGAAGACACATTTGTCATTGGAAAGAGGAGAGATAGAATATCCCAAGATAGAATGTCCCAGGACAGTGGAGGGGACATTTTAAAAAGTTAGAGTGAAGAAATAAGACTTATTTGAGTTGTAGGGGTTGGGGCATTCTTTAAACTTTCTTGAAGGAGGTACTTTCAAAAATGGTGGCAACTGAATACAATAGCATTAGAGGAATTAAAACCATATTAAAAAACAGGAGAACTAAGAAACAGAAAATACTTGATACTACTTCACAAGTACTGAAGGATTCATGAGTAATGAATTGATAGATGGGATATCTTCAGTAGCAAGAAGCTATGTGGTATTTAGTGACAGGAAGTGAAGGAGTTAATCTGATGAATAGCTTTGACACTGATGTACACAAATTAGTGCAGTCATTCATTTTACAATTAAATTTAATCTATTTTCTTTATATTATTCAGACTTTTTATGTTTTTGTGATTACATTCTATTTCATATTTGTGATGTGATTACTTTTAATATTTTCTCTTCAAATGGCTTTCTTTTGCCACCATAGTGTTTTGAGTTTTCCCTGTATAGTTAAACAATCAATTTTTAAAATTATTAAAGACACAGAGGATAATTTATACATTGTTATTTAAGTCTCAAAATGAGAAATTCAAGCTTATATTCATTAATCAAAATGTCACATGCTTTAATTTTCCACCAATTTTTCCTGTATTATCTTCTTGTATTTAGATAATTACTTTTAATGTGCTTGGCTAAATGGTTGTTCTAGTTTCCAAGATTTATTGAGCCTTTGAGTACTAATTTGTTGCATTAAAAAATAAATAAAACTAAGTTTAGAGTTATTTGGCCACCTGATGTGAAGAAATGACTCTTTGGAAAAGACCCTGATGTTGGGAAAGATTGAGGGCAGAAGGAGAAGGGGACAACAGGATGAGATTTTTCGGTGGCATCACCAACTTAATGTTGGCGATGGACAGAGAAGCCTGGCATGCTGCAGTCCATGGGGTCGCAAAGAGTCACACTGGACTGGAACGAACGACTGGACTGAAGTGAACTGAACTGAAGTTTAAAGTATTCTGAATCTTTGTGAAATATATCACAATGTTTACAGAAAAGCTACTAACAAATGCATATTGTAACAAAGGGTTTAGAGTTTAAATGTGATATCTACAGACCCTTGTTAAAAGAGATTGCAGACAAGCAGATTTTGATCTTCAAAGGTTAAAATATTCAAAGAACCTTTGCCCACATTTATGATGAAAAAGGAATTATATCTACAGAAGCCGTGTCAAAGTGAGTGGCAATAACTGTGATTCATAATAAATTTCAGCTGCATCACTGGGATAAGCACTGAGGAAAAAAGTGCTAAGGTGGAATTCTGTGACAATTGTGCTAGAAAATTATAGCTTATCTGAGAGGAAAGTCATTTAGGTGACAAAAGAGAACTACAAAAATAGGCTGGATATTTTTAAATCAACCCTATGGTTCACACTTCTTTGCTCCAAATGAGTCAGTCCTATTAAATGCTAAAAATATACACATTACAATGCAATCACACCCACTTTATATCAACTAAATTGCACAATAAAAGCAATATTTTACCACAATTAACATTCTTATACATTTATAAACTATTAAAATTCACTCCTATAATAAAAGTATTATTATAAGTTTTCTCTTTTTGTGAGAAAAAATCTCTTTAATTTAGCAAGGTCAAAATTAGTAATTTAATAATATTTTTTCAGGAAGAAAGAGTTTGCTGCAGAATGTTGAGAAAATTCTTGTCTCATGGAACTCAGAATAAATTGGAAGACTTAGGATAAATAATGTTATAAATTAATATAATTATAATAAAAATAATCCCATCATACAAATCCTATTAACTAAAGATCACATTCCATTTTCATCATTTTTATCTTCATTCATATGTTTGTATATGCTGTGCATAGTCGCTCAGTTGTGTGAGATCCCATGGGCTATAGCCCCCCAGGCTCCTCTGTCCATGGGGATTCTCCAGCCAAGAATACTGGAGTGGGTTGCCATGCCCTTCTCCAGGGATTTTCCCAACCCAGGGATCAAACCCAGGTCTCCTGTATTGCAGGCTGATTTTTTTTTTTACTATCTGAGTCACTAGGGAAGCATGTGTATGTGTAGTCATATGCAAATTATGGACTTCCCTCCTAGCTCAGTTGGTTAAGAAGTCTGCCTGCAATGCAGGAGGCCCAGGTTTGATTCCTGGGTAGGATTCTCTGGAGAAGGAAATGGCAACCCACTCCAGCATTCTTGCCTGGAGAATCCCATGGACAGAGGAGGAGCCTGGCAGGCTACAGTCCATGGGGTCGCAACAATCAGACATGACTTAGTACTAAACTACTACTACTAGGCAAATTATTTCTTGCATAGATTCATGTATCTACCAAATTCAGATAGAGAATTGTTCAATCCTTCAAAAGGAACGCCCTCATCTTACTCCTCTGTATTTACACAGAGAACTCTATCCTGGGNGATGCTGGGAAAGATTGAAGGTAGGAGATGAAGGGAAATGACAGAGGATGATGTGGTTGGATGGCATCACTGACTCAATGGACAAGAGTTTGAGCAAGCTCCAGGGGTTGGTGATGGACAGGGAAGCCTGGTGTGCTATAGTCCATGGGGTCACAAAGAGTCTGACAAAACTGAGCAACTGAACTGACTGACTGAGTTTTCAACCAACTTTTTTTTCACTTTCCACTTTCAGCTTCAAGAGGCTCTTTAGTTCCTCTTCACTTTCTGCTGTTAGAGTGGTATCATCTGCATATCTGATGTTGTTGATACTTCTCCTGGCAAACTTGATTCCAACTTGTGAATCTAGCCCAGCATTTCCTATGATGTACTCTGTAAATATGTTAAATAAGTAGGGTGAGGTTATACAGTCTTGATGTACTCCTTTCCCAGTTTTGAACAAGTCTATTGTTCCACGTCCTGTACTAACTCTTCCTTCTTGTCCTGCATACAGGTTTCTCAGGAGGTAGGTAAGGTGGTCTGGTATTCCCATCTCTTTTAGAATATTCCACAGTTTGTTGTGAACCACATAGTCAAAGACCTTAGCATAGTCAATGAAGCAGAATTAGATGTAGCTATATCCTGTTTCAATAACTCTAATGATTATCCAAGAGATTACACTACACATTTAAATTATTGAACACTAGTAAAAATTGTTTACTAATGTGAAGATAATGTATTAATAATTGAATGAGTTTTATTTGAGGTATTTGGTCTCTTTCTGAGTTTCCTCTTGTGAATTATTTTAATTCTTTATATATTTCAAAGCCAAAATACAGTACTATAATTCCATATGGTCAATCTTTATTTAAACTTATTCTTTTTATACTGTAACTTAGTTTTTCCTTCTAATACTGAAGTTACATCTGGTATCATTATCCTTCTTTCTGAAAAACACCTTAATGTTGTATTATCGTTCTGTCTTTGATGAGTTCTCTCAATTATTGTTCATCTTGAAATGTATTCATTCAGTTTATATTCTTGGAGAATATTTTTTCAGAAAAAATTTCACACTGCCAGCTATTTCTGTCTTTATTTCAAAACACTATTAGTTTGATTTCTGACTCCCATTATTTCTGTTGAAAAGTTTACTGTACTCCTTAAAGTCTTTCCCTGGTTTATTCAATTTTTTTTATTTTATTTGATTATGGTGCACATAGTTATGGTTGTGGTTTTATTTATTCTGCTTTGGGTTTATTGTGTTATCTGAGTCTGTGGTTTGATAGCTATATCTAATCTGACCAAATTGCATAATCTCTTCATCTTTTGAAGCTCCATGATTCTTTTCATATTCTCCTTTTGGGATCATATTACATTTTCATATTTTTCTTTCCAAAGTTTTCAAATATCACTAAAATCTCAACCTTTTATTTTTCTTTGAACATTAAAAGATTGTTTTCTCAAAGTATGTGCTTGATAATTCTGTTATGTGAACCTTTAGTTCACCCATTTTCAATGCCTACTGCTGCTTTTGGTTATGGTCATGATATCTTCACTCCTTGTATAACTGTATATTTCTGACATTGAAGAAAAATTATATTAATAAATTGAAAGATGACTTGAAGAAGCCTTGGATGATTTTACCTTTCAAATATAATTTATCACTCTGCAGATGGACTAATGGCAATACTGAGTTTGGGTCATCTCATTCCAATCCATGACTGAAATGACTTCCAATCCATGACTGAAATGACTTCAGGCTTAGTTTCATATGTACCTATGAAGTACATATGAAGACAGATCTGTTTCATCCTCACTGCTAAGTTTTAACTGTTCTAAGTTCCAACCCAAATTCTGGGGGTTTTATAGCCACCTTACTCGTTGAAAGACAACAAGTGGTAACTTTGGTGTTTCCATTCTTAAGCACCCTCAAAAGATTGGTCTTTACATCAGGCTGTTACCAAGTTTCATGAAGTGAAGTGAAGTGAAATGAAATCGCTCAGTCGTGTCCGACTCTTTGCGACCCCATGGACTGTAGCCTACCAAGATCCTCAGTCCATGGGATTTTCCAGGCAAGAATACTGGAGTAGGTTGCCATTTCCTGCTCCAGGGGATCTTCCCAACCCAGGGATCCAACCCAGGTCTCTCGCATTGTAGGCAGACGCTTTACCATCTGAGCTACCAAGTTTCATAGCCCAGGTTAATTACTACTCTGGAGTCTCTTATAAAACATTTTGATCTTCCAATTCTTCAAAGACTCAGTAACTCTTTGGAGCCTGAAAAATATTTTGATTAATTTTTCTTGGTGACCTCATTAGGAAGGTTTGTTTGAATAACATGAGCATAGAATTATCCATTATATGTTATTCATATAACAGTTATTTTTTCTTGGGGGAAAAAAAAAGAAAACCTTCTAGTATAGCATTAGCTTCAGTAGTACTCATGGAGTACAAAGTAATTTTACTATTGGGAAATGTTCTCATAATTTTAGTTCTCATAATTCCTATCATTAGGAAATTACTGTTGACACTACTTTATTTTTTGCAGCAGGGCTTCTCTAGTGGCTCAGTGGTAAATAATCCTCCTGCCAATGCAGGAGACATAGGTTCAGTCCTTGGGCTGGGAAGAACCCCTTGAGTAGGAAATAGAAATGCACTCCAGTGTTCCTGCCTGTAAAATTCTATGGACATTGGAGTTTCTAATCATTGTAAATTCATCTGCATAGGCTGTATACCTATAAATATATATTTTGTTTGTATATTTATTTCATCTTTAGTTTTGTTTTTATTCTTTTTTAGTAGAAGAGCAATTTCTGTTTCAGAAATCTGTTTTATTAACATTTATATATCTGGCTTCTTTTTAAATTATAAATCTATTTTCTGATTACTTTCTAAGTTTAATCAAACATTCTATCGGCACCCAAATATACATTTTTCTTGAAAGATGCATTGTCCACAAGTTATTTTTTTGTAACCCCCCAGGGCTTTTAAATCAGACTCTATCCTCCATACTTTAGCATTCTTTTAAACCCTGTGTTTCAGAATGAACAATACTTGTGATAAAATATTGGGTCTCCTAGAATATATCACTGTAAGATAGCAGGATCTCCAATTGTTTTAGGAGATGATGAAGATAAAATTGTAGTTTAATTTCCTCTGATCCAAAAAAACTTCCTATTTGTGACAGCATACTTATCAGCTTAATAAATAGTGATATTTGGTCATGTTAACTATTGTTAACAACATTTTTCATTTCTGACATCTTACTATAGGATTTGCTCAAAATATAGAATTTGACTAGGTCAGAGACATTGAAATAAATATTTTAAAACAATCATTATCCTAATTATTCTAGAATATTAACTAGATTCTATTATCAGACATTCAAAAAATATTTTTATTTATATCTAATAATCAGGAATGTTTTATGCCATAAATTAATACATTAAAAGTTTGCTCTAGTACTGAATTTATTGGATTTATAAACTTATAAACTTGCATTGTTCTTATCCTCATATAAAAATATTTCTTACCTTGTGAGATAATAAATATTATTTAAAAATGTATAGCAAGATAGTTACATATATAAATAGATATTTATACATGTGTATGTATATACATGTGATTATATATATATGTCTATATATCATACACTTTAACCATGTAGCTCCACAAAATTGTCAATAGAGATAAAAGCATAATTAATAGTCAATGTGCACAGTTGCTTGTTTGAGCAAAATATGTACAGTTTCAAGTTTCCTTCCTTAGAAATGATGAAAATTGGCAAAGGCAAAGCAAAATAGAAGTGGCAGTTGAATTTATCATTGTCATGTTTGTATTCTTTCTCTTCTCTGCTTTTCTTTTTGAAAACTTGTAAGGAAATTATTCTTTTTCTGACTGAAAATTTCAGAATGTAACTTTAACCTGCTTTTAGCATCAAGACAAAATCAAATGATGGCCACTCACCAGATTCAGAAAGCTATCAGAAAATCAGCCAATAAATATTTTTGAAATCATGTGGTCTCGTTTCCAATTATCTTTCCAAATATTATGATTGTCTCTCTATAGATTGGATATCTCTCCTCACGTACATGGTTGCCATACTTGTGGCAAGTCCAAAAGAAGCTCCAAAATTCAGAAAGCAATCCCCTCAAACTACTCACTCAGACTCACTAAAATTAACCTAAAATTTCCAGGAGAGAGAAGTAAATTATTTCAATTTGAGCAAGGGTCAAATTGATCTTTCTTGATGGTTCAAATGGCAAAGAATCTGCCTGCAACGTGGGAGACCTGGGTTCGATCCTTGGGTCAGGAAGATCTCCTGGAGAAGAGAATGGCAACCCACTCCAGTATTCTAGTCTGGAGAATTCCATGGAAAGAGGAGTCTGGCTGGCTACAGTCCGTGGAGTCTCAAAGAGTCAGATAGGACTGAGCGACTAACACTTTCACTTTCAAATTGATCGAATTCTAAACGACATGGCAGTGAAAAGCTTTTTCCCATTCCATTTAGTGACAGGGATGGCTAACATAGAAGATTCAATTAGGATGGGGCTGGAAAGGCGTGAGAAATGCACTTATGTATTTGATTAAGTGAAATTATTTAATGATTAAATAAAAATCATATGATTACATAAAAATCGCTGTGTACTATTTATGAAGACATCATTATATTTATGTCTAATATTTTTATTTTACTGTTTACAATTGTCCTTTATCTTAACTCTTGGCTAATTTTTCTAAGGAAGATTTCCTGTTATTTGTGACAGCACTTAGTCTAGTTATTTTCAGAGAACAGATGCTCACCTATCCATTTCACCAGTTCATATAGCAGGGTAAGTCTGGGGACATGTTTATCATGGTTATGTGCTAGTCGCTCAGATCAGTTATGTCTGATGCTTTGAGACCCCAGGTGTTCTGTCATCCACCAGGATCCTCTGTCCATGGAGTTTTCCATGCAAGAATACTAGAGTGGATTGCCATTCCCCTCTTCAGGGGATCTTCCAGACCCAGAGATTGAACCCGGGTCTCCTGCATTGCAGGCAGATTCTTTACTCTCTGAGCCACCAGGGCAGGTATAAAATGTACTGTTTAAACTAAATCACTTTCTTTTTTCAGGTATTTTTGGCTGAATACACAGGACCTCTGCTAATATATCTCCTCTTTTATTTGAGGATCCCGTATATATATGACATGAAAGAGAGCTCTAGAAGATTATGTCACCCAGTGGTACAGTAAGTAATACACATGGTGCATATATATTAAGGAGACAAACTAATACACAGATATTATGTTAATAAATATTGTAAACTCAATTAACATGGATTCACTTTTAGGGAAATATATTTTGTAAGTTTATAAACAAGTACCTATTACTTAATATACTTAATATATTAAGTATACCTTAGAGTGGAGGTAAATTCTGTTAGTTATTATCACAATCAACAAGCTAATGAAATGCTTAATGTTACAAAATTGAGAGGTCATGTATAGAGCACAGAATATAAATAATTCTCTAAAAATATGGGCAAAATTGCATAGAAAATCAATACTAACTGAACTAATAAACTGGAAGAAAAAAGGTTTTAAAATTTACTTTTTGTAAATCAAAGGCCAAAATTCCTTCTTGTTCTGATATCTGCTATGCCTTTTCACACAAGGGCATCTACAAATATTATCCCTTTTCCTCCAACCTTTCTTCATGGTCTCCCATTTTCTTATCTCTTATTCAAACTTCACATAAAGCTCAATATTTCTTATCAGCATTAGCATTTCTATTCCTTCCATGAGAAATATGTTACTAAAATATTTCCCTTTATACAATTTATTACTTTAAAATTATATATTTAAATAGTCATTTTTGTTTTTCACTATATGAATTTAAGTTATATAATGAATGTCTTTTGATGTTCAATCTTTTCTATTAATGCTTAATACATTACTTGATTTTTAAACAACACCCAATAGTAATGTTTTGAATGAATAGAGGCATGAAACAATTACATACAAATTTATTTTGCATTGGGCTTTTTAGAGTATGGAAAGAGAGGAACCTGAACTGGATGTGTGTTCTGAGATGGGCTTTTAAAAGAAAGTTATGTTTAAATATTTTTCTATGTTTTCTGAAGGTATGTGAGATTGTCAAGCTAGTAAATGTGAGAAATATTCATATGGAAATTATCTGTGGCACATAGAAGTTTGATGCTTTGTAGGAGTAGAGAGAAAGCTTGTGGAGCATGTGCACAGGAGGCAAGGGAAGGTTGGATCTCAGGGATCATGGTCAAGTTAGTATAGGACAAGTTTTTCAGGTCCTTTGGTAACATGAAAGTCAATATTTCTCTTTCTTAAGTGAAGAGAATGCCCAATTCATTTAGAAAGAGTCTGGGGTGGAGAGTTTATTGGAGAATGCAATTGCCCTCATTTTTAGATCAGACATATAATAATAATGTGCACCAGATATATAGCACAGCATGGAGAAAAGACCTTTTTTCGTCTTTTACCCAAAAACATTCTCAAAGGAATTGACTGATGGTTGCTATTCTTAAACACAAACATGGTGTGTTTTGTAACATCTCAGTGATAAATGCATCAGTGCCACATTCTTCCTAAAGCACAAATATGTTAAGTTTATACGAAATCATTCAGAGTAGATACACACAAACTACTTTTGAAATTTAAGTGTCTAGTAGAGGTCTATAAAATAATCCCAAGGTCTCTAAGGCAATTCAGTTTCAGGACGGATGATGTCTTTTCTCAAAGTTAAAAAGATAAAATTTCAAATCCCATATCCACCTGACATATAATCCAATGTTGTTTCTTCCAAGTCACTTTGAATCATATTCCAGAGCATTTTTCTGCTAGGTGCCAATCCTTTTGTGACTCAACTGCCCCCAAATTCTTTGGATCTCTTACAAAGCTCTGTACACTAGGACTAAGGACAAATCTCCAGCATGATCCCTATGCTTCTCAAGTAGGGAAACGGTGGCCCATGGCTTGATGTAATGCAGGTGTTCTTTATTCAATCAGTAGTATTTTAGAGAGCAGACACATACTTAAAACTGCCGTGGTCCCTCCCAGCAGAGGGATCTAGTGAACTAGATGCACATATGCCTTATGTGCGTCTCCTTAAGACTTTAACTGCAACATCAGGGATGAAAAAGTAGCCAGAGAAAACTTTCCTGTGCTGAGTATCCACAGTTTGAATATCTGCCTTAAATACAAACACAAAACAAACAGACAAACAAACAAAAAAACCACAAAGAACAAAACAGCTTTTGATATTTGGATACTTTGTCCTTGTTTAGATCACTGACCTTATGAACTCCCCACATTCAGATCATCCCTCATATTTCATATTCCATTTAAATATGCTCTAAAACCTTCTATTTGTTGCTTTTACTGAACTTCACTCAATTCCTAGAATTCTTACACTGTGCCTTCTGCAATTCAGTATCCACCGTTAGCAAAATCTCTTACACTGGCAATCTTTTATCTGAACATTGCCTTCATATTCCTCCTCAAAAGAAACCTGATGCAATGACTGCCTTGCAACTTTATAAAATTTCTTAACAGTCCTCATATCTTGAAACTTAGTTGATAAAACTTAAGAAATCCTCAAATATTACAACTGGAAAAAAGAAATGGATCCAAACCTACTTATGGATATTCTATTAGTTTATCACTGGAAAAAGAAAGATTTTATGTTTGAATGAAAGTCAGCTATAACTAGGGCTTCCCTGGTGACTCAGCTGGTAAAGAATCCACCTGCAATGCAGGAGACCTGGGTTTGATCCCTGGGTTGTGAAGATCCCCAGGAGAAGAGAATGGCTACCCACTCCAATATTCTGATCTGGAGAATTCCATGGACTATATAGTCCATGGGGTCTCAAATGAGTTGGACAGGGTTGAGTGACTTTCACTTTCACTTTTTCAACCATAATTAAATATTTTGAAATGAAATCAAACTTGGTGAGTTATCAATAATGTACAAGGTGGTGTATCCAAATATTAAGGCATTGCTATTTGCTATGCTAATCCCTATGCCCTAATGGTATAATAAAAATTAAATAAGTGAACTAACTTAATCATAGCTTAAACTAAAATTTCTCATTCAGAGCTCTGCTTCATTGTTGGGCAAAAGATAATTTTTCTGCTTTCTTACAAAATGTAAAATTCTATTACTCAGGTATTTATACAAATACTTCTACAAATGAACCAACAAGTTACGAGAGATACTGATTTTGTCAGTCCCTTGAACCCACAGGCAACTTTCTATATCAGAACCTTTGCTTTTGTTTCTGTTACTCTCTAGAAAGCTTTGCCCCCAAACATATACACTTTACTGTCTCACTTCTTTCAAAATTTGCCTATTGTTCATAGATCTGTACACCACATAGAACATCTCTCCCATAACAGGTGCAGTTTTATTTTTATGAATTAATGAACAGTGATATATTAACTAATGATTTAGGTATGTTGCTTTGTTTTTGTTTATCTGTTTTTCCCAAAATCACTCATTAGTACCAGAAATCATCAATTCATCACCAAAATATAAACATACAGTGTAGATTCAATGTTTGATTTTACATATTATAGATGAAATGCTGATTTCTATGCTTAACCTTCATTGGTTTAAGTATATAATCTTTGATAAATATTGATTTTCTTGCATAGCAAACATAGTTATTGAAATTTTACATGTTTATTTATAATAAAATAGGTGTGTATTTGAAGGAAATATATTTTAAGTATAAACAAAGAAACATACATCTGTAAACTGTATTTGACATTCACTTTTTAAATATTAATTATACAAATGACAAGAAGAGGTGATGGGTTAGAAAAGCAACAAAAAACAAATGATATAAAGAGACACAAAATATCGCAATATGTTAGGCAAGAAAACAAACTAAAAAAAAAAGCTGCATTGACTCCATAGGAAGTGAAATTCAAACTTTTTCAATCTGTGGTACTTGTTAAAGGACAACCAGGCAATGAAAAAGCTATGTTGAATATTATAATATGTCAAATGCATTCTACATAGGTTGTAAATTTTCTGCTTCAAATTTAAGCCATTTTGATAGGATCACATTTATAAGTACTTTATATATATATATTCCTTGGAAAGATGTGAACATACTGTTTATGACTGGTATTATAAAATATCTTGAGTGTCATCAGAAGTAAATTTAAAGAAATTGTTGTAACAGTACTTTTATTATTAAATTTAGAAATTTTCTAGAATAAATAAAATAAAAATATGAAAACTAACATTTGTGTTTTAGTTATCAAAACCAGTATTTTCCTGATAAAGAGAAAGTTGCAATATATTAATAAAGATTAACCTATTTACTAAACAGAAATAGACTCATAGATGTAGAAGACAAGCTTATAGTTACCAAAAGGGAAAGGTGGGGAAAAGATGAACTGGGACACTGGGATTGATGTACACTACTAAATATAAAACAGATAATAAATAAGAACTTACTATATAGAACAGGGAACTCTATACTCAATACTCTGTAATAATCTATATGGGAATATAATTTAAAAAATAGTGGATATGTATAACTGATTCACTTTTTTGAAAGGCAGAAATTAACAACATTGTGAATTAACTATACTCCAGTAAAATTAATTTTAAAAGATTATCTTCAAAAATAGAAAGGGAAATAATAGCAAACTAAAAAAAGAAAAGATAACATCTTATGCATAAGGTGAATCAGATTTTTGGAAGGGAATTTAATGGGTTTGTGTTTTATTTTCTTTCTAGCTTGGCCTGCTTCTGTCATTGTATACACTATATCCGATACCTTTTGGAAACCTTATTTGTTCACAAGGTTTCTGCAGGACATACACCTTTGAGAAATTTGATAAAGGTGGGCACTGATATGTTTTGTAATTTTAATTATTTTTTAAAAATTTTATGTATAGGATCATCTATATCATCATTTAATCATGCTCATTTCTCTCAAGCTTAGATTTTGTGTTCAGGTGTATCAGCATATCTTAAACTGCTGAAATGCTATTTTCTGAATGATCTGGTTCATCAGAGCTGCCCCCAACAAATAATGTTACATAAAATATTTGCCATGACCTTATGTTACAAGGTACTTTTAGGCACGTTTAATTTTGAAAATACTTAGCACTGAATTCAGACTAAGTACAACTTGAAGTGGAAGAATCTGATACATAAACCCTCTAATAAATATAAATTTGTATGACTAAAATGATGATGCTGTATCCTCTATTTGTGGTTGTTGTCAGTGTAATAACAGGATCTCTGCTCTCCCCAAAAATAATGAGTATAAATGCTATTAACTATCAAATGATTACCAAGAAAACAGGAAACACTGTGGAATATTGAGATGGAAATGTACATTAGACATATATATAACTTAGTTTTCCAATTTAAATTGATTTTATTTTTCTATTTAAAATTTGGTTTCAAAATGAATTATATCTTTAAGACCTTCCTGGGTTTTAGCAAATATTCACTTTCCAAAATTTTTGAAGAGGGAGTTATTCTATTTTTGTCATTAAAATGAAACAGTAAACTCTTGAACTCTTAGAAACCTCAAAAAATCATTTAGACTAGCTTCTCTTTTGAAAGAAGGTATTAACATTCATCACATTAGTATCAGATCAGCATCATAACCTAGTAAACCCAAAATGGTCCATTTCTCTTCATAATCAATCAGGAAACATTAGGTAACTGATTCATTTATTCAACTACTTTGGGGATATGACTCTTGGTAAATCTTATCTAATAGATTAATTTATTAGTTTCATTAATTCCCTCCTATTTATTACTTGACAGATAAAAGCTATTCTTGAAAAGTCTTCCTAAAACACATTGCTACATTTCTCTATATCCTAAATACTAATTTATACTAGCAAGGGTTGAGCAAAGAATTTTCTTAGTGATATCATATAGATGCTTTTAAGATGTTAGCTACCTGACAGGATGAAGAAGCATTCCACTTATCAGGCTTAGAAAATTTATAACCTTTTTATACCAAATACTGTGATATGGAATACTAATGTATGGTGTGGATTCAAATGATGTTATGTGTATATATATTCCTTAACTTTTATTTTGTTTTATTTGTAGAGTTGTGCCTTTTATTGGGGATTCACTTCTTGGATTGCCTACTACATTAATCATCCACGGTATACACCACCATGTATGTAGAATTTCTTCTTAACTATCCCCATACTAAATTGCCAACATCAAAACTCTGTTCTAAACTACATAGAAATGATGCATGACATGGCACACATAAAGGAATGAGAAAATAATGAAAAAATATCAATTTTAAATTGCTTTCACACATACTCCATTAAATTTTTATGTACAATTTGAAGGTAAAATTTGACTGACATATTTTGATTTATTTTCTCTCCATAGAAACTGTAGCAAAAAAATATAAGTTGGTTATAAATCTCAAAAATGACAGATAGTAAAATGAAAGGGTAAAGATGAAAAAAAAATTCCACATAATCACACAATTATGTACAATAAACTGTCAAGAGTTTTTAAATAAATATTATTTTTTTAAAAAATATAATTCAAATGGAAAAATAAAGCTTTTTTTTTCCCCCTGTGACATATTGCTTCCTATAACTTTACTAAATGTCTTATCCCTTGATGCAGATGAACCAATTTAGTTCAATGCACACTGGAACAAAACCTAAACCCTTATTTCCTATTCTTGGGGGAGACATACATGTCCTTATCGAGGAATTCCAGTTTTTAAATCTTCAGTGGACCTTTCCTCAACTTTTCCTGCAGTCGAAAAGACACTTATAGCAGAGCCTATATATAATACATATATAATATGTGTATTATATGTATATAATATATATACATACATTATATATTATGTGTGTATTATAATGCACATAGTATTATATATTATGTATTATAATACATGTAGTATTGTGTGTGATGTTTCACACTTAATTGAGAGTTATTTTTGTGGTCAGTTCCTACCTTATAAGTTTGAAAATAAATGAATATAAATGATGTATTCAAGTCTTATTTTAGATTTTATAAAACAATATAAACCTTAAAGATGTTAAATTAATATCCTTACTTGAAGTAGTGACACAGAGAATTATATTATTCAGAGTTTTTGCCAAAATCTACTACAGCCATCAGAGCAAATGATTTCAGTGTTGAGAACTTTAACTCTTTCTAAAGAGATGGGAATATCAAACCACCTCATCTGACTCCTGAGAAATCTGCATGCAAGTCAAGAAGCAACTATTAGAACTGGACATGTAACAATTGACTGGTTCAAAATTGGGAAAGGAGTATGGCATGTAGTATTGTGTGTGATGTTTCACACTTAATTGAGAGTTATTTTTGTGGTCAGTTCCTACCTTATAAGTTTGAAAATAAATGAATATAAATGATGTATTCAAGCCTTATTTTAGATTTTATAAAACAACATAAACCTTAAAGATGTTAAATTAATATCCTTACTTGAAGTAGTGACACAGAGAATTATATTATTCAGAGTTTTTGCCAAAATGTACTACAGCCATCAGAGCAAATGGTTTCAGTGTTCAGAACTTTAACTCTTTCTAAAGAGATGGGAATATCAAACCACCTCATCTGACTCCTGAGAAATCTGCATGCAAGTCAAGAAGCAACTATTAGAACTGGACATGTAACAATTGACTGGTTCAAAATTGGGAAAGGAGTATGGCAAGGCTGTATATTTTCACCCTGCTTATTTAACTTTTATGCAGTGTACATCATGCAAAATGCCAGGCTGGATGAAGCACAAACTGGAATAAAGTTTGCTGGGATTTAAAATATCAGTAACCTCAGATATGCAGATGACATCACCCTCATGACAAAAAGTAAGTAAAAAGCCTCTTCATAAAAGCGAAAGAAGAAAGTGAAAAGGCTGGCTTAAAACTCAGCATTCAAAAAACTAAGATCATGACATCTGGTCCCATTTATTCATGGCAAATACATGGGGAAACAATGGAAACAGTGACAGACTTTATTTTCTTGGGTTCCAAATCACTGTCATTGGTAACTGCAACCATGAAATTAAAAGACTCTTGCTCCTTGGAAGAAAAGCTATAAGCAACCCAGAGCATTTAAAATGCAGAGACATTATTTTGGTGACACAGGTCCATCTAGTCAAGGCTATGGTTTTCCCAGTAGTCATGTGTGGATGTGAGAGTTGGACCATAAAGAAGGCTGAGTGCCGAAGAATTGATGCTTTTGAACTGTGGTGTTGGAGAAGACTCTTGAGAGTCCTTTGGACTGCAAGGAGATCCAACTAGTCAATCCTAGAGGAAATCAACCCTGAATATTCACTGGAAGGCCTAATGATGAAGCTGAAGCTCCAACACTTTGACCACTTGATGCGAAGAGCTGACTCATCAGAAAAGATCCTGATGCTGGGAAAGATTGAAGGCAAAAAAGAGGGTGACAGAGGATGAGATGGTTGGATGGCATCTCTGACTGAATGGACATGAGTTTGAGCAAGCTCCAGGAGATGGTGAAGGACAGGGAGGCCTGGTGTGCTGCAGTCCATGGGGTGGCAAAGAGCCGGATACAACTGAGTGACTGAACAACAAAATACTAACCAATGAACTATGAATATGAAAGGAAAAAAATTCCCTGATCTTGATCTCACAAAACTCTGATATTTTAAAATATTTTATCTGAAAATGTACTTTCCAACTTTAGAATATGAATGGAGGGGAAAAAAAGATATTTTTGATTCATGATATTTAAGAAAAGGAGCCTCAGAAAATTGCTGCATTCATTTATATGATGCAAAATAATAGAGGTTAACTGTGCTTAATATGTGCAAAATACTTACAGAAAATTTATTATTTGGCAAGAGCTGTAAAATTGCTATTTGTTTTGTAATTAGAAACAACATTTGAGGATTTTGGAGACTCAAGAGGAAGGGGTGTGTGTGTGTGTGTATAATTATGGCTGATTCACATTGATGTAAGGCATAAACCAACAAAACACTGTAAACTAATTATCCTTCAATTTAAGAGTCAAAAAAAAAATTAAATGAGAAAAAATAACATTATGCAACTGTTAATATTCCCAGTATATATTAGGAAATGAAGGTTCTAAAAGCTTAATTTTGCCATGCTTAAGACTTTATAATAAATATGATGTAAGTAGGATTTCAAATCTGTGACGATATAGAGAGCATGACAATAACTATGCCAAGTGGAGATTAATATCATGTACAGGCACTGCATGCTTTGCATGGCTCTGATATGCATGTATTTCAGTTCTTATAGTTCAGTTAAATAATACCAGCTGGGTGACAGAGGATGAGATGGTTGGATGGCATCTCTGACTGAATGGACATGAGTTTGAGCAAGCTCCAGGAGATGGTGAAGGACAGGGAGGCCTGGTGTGCTGCAGTCCATGGGGTGGCAAAGAGCCGGATACAACTGAGTGACTGAACAACAAAATACTAACCAATGAACTATGAATATGAAAGGAAAAAAATTCCCTGATCTTGATCTCACAAAACTCTGATATTTTAAAATATTTTATCTGAAAATGTACTTTCCAACTTTAGAATATGAATGGAGGGGAAAAAAAGATATTTTTGATTCATGATATTTAAGAAAAGGAGCCTCAGAAAATTGCTGCATTCATTTATATGATGCAAAATAATAGAGGTTAACTGTGCTTAATATGTGCAAAATACTTACAGAAAATTTATTATTTGGCAAGAGCTGTAAAATTGCTATTTGTTTTATAATTAGAAACAACATTTGAGGGTTTTGGAGACTCAAGAGGAAGGTGTGTGTGTGTGTGTGTGTGTATAATTATGGCTGATTCACACTGATGTAAGGCATAAACCAACAAAACACTACAAACTAATTATCCTTCAATTTAAGAGTCAAAAAAAATTAAATGAGAAAAAATAACATTATGCAACTGTTAATATTCCCAGTATATATTAGGAAATAAAGGTTCTAAAAGCTTAATTTTGCCGTGCTTAAGACTTTATAATAAATATGATGTAAGTAGGATTTCAAATCTGTGAAGATATATAGAGCATGACAATAACTATGCCAAGTGGAGATTAATATCATGTACAGGCACTGCATGCTTTGCATGGCTCTGATATGCATGTATTTCAGTTCTTATAGTTCAGTTAAATAATACCAGCCCCTAAATCCACACTTCAGATTTCAGTTACCACATATGTGAATTGCAGTTACACAAAGTACAACCTTTGCAGCTAGCTCTCAGTCTACATATCACTCTATAACTAACAGATGCACATCATGGTCAGTGACATCTGACAGTGGTTGGTACTGCACATTGCTTATTTAGTTCACTCACAACCAGCAAATAACTGGAACAAAATTGGCACTTTGTTGGCACTTTGGCACAGAAAGCAGTAATCTGAGCAAAAGGCTAGTAAGCCCCTAGTATGCCAGACCAACATATTCTGGTAGATATTTTTTGAAAAAAAAAAAAATCACATCAACTTGATCTTAAATTTTGATCTAAGTAGGAGAAGCTTAAAGCAAAAATATATGACACTGAAAGGTGAACTTCCCAAGTTGGTAGGTGCCCAATATGCTACTAGAGAAGAGTGGAGAAATAACTCAAAAAACAATAATGAGACAGAGTCAAAGCGAACACAACACCCAGTTATCGAGGTGACTGGTGATGAGAGTAAAGTCTGATGCTGTAAAGATCAATGTTGCATAGGAACCTGGAGAAGATACTGGGATTGATCAAATGTGTCAAAAGTGTTTTGCAAAGTTTGTACTGAAGATTTCTTGCTGGATGATGCTCCATGGTTGGGTAGGCCAGTTGCAGTTGATAGTCATCAAATTGAGACACTAACTGAAAAAATCAATGGGAGATAGCTGATACACTCAACATATCCAAATAAAGTGCTGAAAATCATTTGCACCAACTTGGTTATGTTAATCTTTTTGGTGTTTCTATTCTACATAAGTTCAGGGGAAAAAAAAAATCTTCTTGACTACACTTCCACATGTGAGTCTTTATTTAAACATATAGAGAAGCATTCCATTTTTAAAACAAATTGTGACAGGCAATGAAATGTGATACTGTGCAATCATGTGATACAGAGGTGACAATGGGGCAAGCGAAAGGAACCACCACCAACCACACCAAAGATCGGTCTTCATCCAAAGGATGTGATGCCCTGTATATGGTGGGATTGAAAGGTTCTATTATGAACTCCTTCTGAAAAATCAAAGGATTAATTCTANTGGGATTGAAAGGTTCTATTATGAACTCCTTCTGAAAAATCAAAGGATTAATTCTAAAAAGTATTCCTCCTAATTAGACCAACCGAAAGCAGCACCAGATGTAAAGTGTCCGAAATTAGTCAGTAGAAAATGCATAATCTTCCATCAGGATAACATAAGACTGTATGTTTCTTTGATGACTAGGCGAAAACTGTTAAAGCTTTACATTTGCCCTATTCACCAGACGTTGTATCTCTGGGTGTCCATTTATTTCGATCTTTACAGAATTCTCTTAATGGAAAAAAATTCTATTCCCTGTGAAGCTGTAAAATGCACCTGGAATAGTTCTTTGCTCAAGAAAATAAAAAGGTCTGGGAAGATGGGATTATGAAGTTTCTTGAAAAATGGCAGAAGGTAGTGGAACAAAATGGTGAATACGATGTTCAATAAAGTTCTTGGTGAAAATGAAAAATGTGTCTTTTATTTTTAACTTAAAAATTTGAAGGAACTTTTTAACCAACCCAATACATACTTGTGTTTAATTCAGCATATTTTTTATTTACTACATACATGATTATTAAAATTTTCTGTTATTTTTATATTGTTATAATTTAAATTATTGTTCTTTGCCCATTGTATCCATTATTTTTTTCACTTCTTTCTATATTCTCTGTACAGACAGTTCCACATTTTTATTGCCTTATTCTTAATAAAATTGGCTGCATAAAATAAATAGCACCTGCACATTTACATACATTAACTTAAATGAAAAGCAATCTATTGGTATGTATTTCCAATACATATACCATTAGCAAGATCATTTTACATACTTGACCAATACTTGAAATAAATAAGAAAAATATATTATCATAATTGAACTGCCCGATGGCAAGAACATTCTATTAACTACAAACTAGAATGCATATGTACAGGAAGCTTAATATATAAAAATGTTTAGTTTAAGAGCACTCAAGAAAAAATGACCTATGTTTTGCCGATCTAAATGTGAAATATTATACAAATTATAGAAACACTATAGGCAGTTTTTATGATACCTAATATTTTTTCTAGAAAGTTTGTTTCGAATTATATTATCTGCAACTTATTTTGGGAAATAATTCCAATTTTCTTTTAAATTTACCTTTTGTTTAATACCTTTTTATCACATCATTATTTATTCTCACTAAAAATGAAAACAAAACAGGAAAATGAAAACAAGACATATCTTCACAGTCTTGATGCATGAATGGTTCTGAACCCCTCTCTTCTATGTGTTAACATCTATTCACTTTTTAGATAAAAGTTCAGTTATGTATTCAAAGTCTTCCCTGATCTCCCTGCTTACAACAAATCCCTCCTTTTAGCTCTAAAATTAAATATTGCATAGCTCCTCCTATGCAATATTTAGAATATATTTAATATAATTGCATTGTATTAGTAAATATATTATATAATATTCATATTAAATTTTATGAACTACATTATACAATATGATGCAATTTCTATCATACCTTTGACAATGAATGTTTATAATATCAGAAAAGTCTTTAAATATATTCTTATATTAAAAAAATCCAAGATTCAAAATGAGTAATTACACTAATGTATATTTGTAGATGTGTTTACAAAAGTAAACACAATTTATTGGGTTGGCCCAAAAGTAGTTTCCAATTTCTCCATAAGAAGTTACAGGAAAACATGAATGAATTGGCCAACCCAATACATAAAACTAGAAGAAATGCAACTATTAATATAGATAATGAGCTTATTAGAAAACTCCATTTTCATTATTTTCTATATTCCAACTTCTTCACTATAAACAAGGTGAATTTAGAACTCTGCTTCAAATTCCATTTTGTCCATTACTCTTTAAGATTTGACAAATTATGTAAAATATATACATGTATATATATTTTACAAAATATATATATGTATATATATTTTACCAGTGAGAAAAATAGTATTTGCTCCATGTATTTGTTTTTATGTTAAAATATATAAAACACTTAAAATACTGTGTGTTGCAAAACATCAATGCAAAAATAAAAATTATTATTTTTTAAATTTAATTTATTTATTTTAATTGGAGGCTAATTACTTTAAATATTGTAGTGGTTTTTCCCATACATTGACATGAAAACATTATTATTAGCATTTATCTTTTTATTGTTGAACATTAAAAAGAGATATTATTAATTTCATATACATATTAGGTCATGCTAATGTGCTTTTACAGTGAGAAACAAGTGGCTTCCCAAGAGGTCCAGTGGTTAAGAATGCACCTTGCAATGCAGGGGGCACTGGTCGGCCTCTGGTCTGGGACGATCCCACGTGGTGCAGAGCAACAGAGCCTGGGCACCACAGCGACTGAGCCTGTTCTCTAGGGCCCTGAAGCCACAACTGCTGAGGCCACTGTGCCTAGAGCCTGTGCTCTGCAACAAGGGAAGCCCCCACAGCAAGAAGCCCCCACACCGCAGCTAGAGAGAACTGCTGAGGCCACTGTGCCTAGAGCCTGTAAGAAGCCCCCACACCGCAGCTAGAGAGAAGCCTGTGCGTAGGAAAGAGGACTCAATGCAGCCAAAAACAAAACTAAATTAATTCATTAAAAATTAGTGACATTCAAATGAATTCTTTTTAATGGCTGAGTAATATTCCATGAGGGATCGGGTGGAGAGGGAGGTGGGAGGGGGGACTGGGATGGGGAATACATGTAAACCCATGGCTAATTCAAAACAACTGTAATGATGTAAAGTAATTAGCCTCCAACTAATAAAAATAAATGGAAAAAAAGAAAAAAAAATTAGTGACAAACAAGATAGAGCAAATCTGCTTTAAAAAAGTTTAATAATAAAAATTATGAATAGACTCCATTTATATTCTAAATATCATTAGGTCACTAGAAGAAATGTGTATGTAGAAAGCAAGAATAGTACCACCTCTGCAGATTGCAAAAGTATCATTCCAAAAGCTCAATTACATATCACCCAGTGCTTTCAGTTTAGAGGGTAGTGATAGCCAATAAACCTTGCCTGAATTATGTCTTCAGTATGTAAATCCAAAAAATGAGTGTTGTTTATCTTTTTCTGCTTTCTAGCATTTGGATACAGGCAAGTCGCAGTATCTGCTATCAATTTTCTGGTATGTATTATTTATATTATTTCCTATTCATGCTCTAATCATGGCATTATTATGAATTCAAATAGACTACACTTGAGAATTTTTCATGTAGAAAATATGATTTATTTTTATACATATACACAATGGTATTAAATGAAATAAATCAAATAACTTCCCATAATCAAGTCATTAGTCTCTAAGTCTTTTATTCAAAATGTTCTACTCATTTTAAAGGATGATTAGAATTAGTTGAAATACAATAAAATTTGGGAAAAAATTAAACTTAGCAATTCTTCCTGTTGTCTTCATATTTACCAACTTACAAACTGCTAAGAGCAAAAAATTTTACAAGTCTACCTGATGATCAACTAAAATAGTTTGTCTTAATTGTTAAGTAATTCTGAATGAAAATAAAGTCTATTTTTGTGACTGAAACAGGGCTCTTTACTAATTGTCCTCTATCCAGGTCTTTAGATTGTTCTATTTAACCTCACATATGCATTACCTGAATCTGATATGAATCAATCTGATTACAAAAGATTCTTCATAATTTCTGAAGTACATTAATTACTGTACTAGGTACATATTTAGTTCTGCATGCCATATATTAATTCCATGCTTTTATTCTTCATTCATATTTTCCCTCATTCTTGCCCATGATAGATTATCTCACTCTGTTCCTGTCCCTAATACACTGATAAATACACATGATTCACATATATGACAAAATCTTTTGTGAAGTTTCTACTGGACATACCCCACCACTTCATACAGGCACAAACTGAACATTTACCTTTGTAAAAAGCTATCTCATGAACCTCTGTATGTGTGTATACCGACTCGATGGACATGAGTGTGAATAAGCTCCAGGAGTTCGTAAAGGGCCAGGAAGCCTGGCATGCTGCAGTCCATGGGGTCGACCCACAAAGGGTCAGACACAACTGAGTGACTGAACTGATCTATGATGATCTATGAACTGATCTATATATACCTATATCCAAATATATATATGTGTGTGTGTATACACATAGAATTAATAATTTAGTTAAGAACACACACTATTGTGCTGACTGTGAGAGGGACAGGTTGTGCCACTGTCTTTCTAGCACCTAGTATGAAAGCTGTTTTAAATATTCCTCAATAGAAAAAGGAACCATCCTACAGAGCTGGTAGGAATGTAAATTGGTGCAGTCACTATGGAAAACAGTATGGAGGTTTCTTAAAGAACTGAAACTAGAGTTACCATTTGTTTCAACAATTGCACTCCAGGGCATACATCTGGAGAAAACTCTAATTCAAAAATACACGTGCATCCCAATATTCATACTAGCACTATTTACAATAGCTAAGACATGAAGCAATCTAAGTGTCTACTGACAGAGGAATGGATAAAGAACATGTGGTATATATAAATATACATTTATGGGATATTATTCTGTCATAAGAAAGAATTAAACAATGTCATTTGCAGCAACATGAATGGACATAGAGATTATCACACTGAGTGGAGTAGGTTAGAGAAAGACAAATATCGTACTATATCATATATGTTGAATCTAAAATATAATAAAAAGCAGAAACGGACTCACAGGCATAGAAAACAAACTTATGATTACAAAAGGGGAGAGTTGTGTGGGGGAAGACATAAATTAGTTTGGGATTGCAGATGCAAGCAACTGTGTATGAACTACACGGACCTGCTGTATAGCACAGGGACAATAGTCAATAAGTGAAGTGAAGTTGCTCAGTTGTGTCCGACTCTTTGTGACCTCATGAACTGTAGCTTACTAGGCTCCTCCATCCATGGGATTTTCCAGACAAGAATACTGGACTGGGTTACCATTTCATTCTCCAGGGGATCTTCCTAACCCAGGGATCAGACCTGGGTCTCCCTCATTGCAGGTAGACGCTTTACAGTCTGAGCCACCAGGGAAGCCAAGCTATAGTATACAATAGTCAATATCTTATAATAAACTATAGTGGGAAAGTACAAAAAAAAATGAAGTAAAAGGTTCACTAGTCCTAGTACTTCTTAATAATGATGTAGGTAAGATACATTTAACTTTTACAAATAGGAGAGTAAGATATAAATCTTAGGAAATTGATTCTAAAACAGAATACAACAACTAATGTGTTTATTCAGTTCAGTTCAGTCGCTCAGTAGTGTCCAACTCTTTGTGACCCCATGAATCGCAGCATGCCAGGGGAAACTGTTCATCACAAACTCCCGGAGTTTACTCAAACTCATGCCCATTGAATCGGTGATGCCATCCAGCCATCTCATCCTCTGTCGTCCCCTTCTCCTCCTGCCCCAAATCCCCCCCAGCATCAGGGTCTTTTCCAATAAGTCAACTCCGCATCAGGTGGCCAAAATATTGGAGTTTCAGCTTCAGCATCAGTCCTTCCAATGAATATTCA